AGGCGGGGGCAGGAGCCGGAGCCCCGCGCGGTGCTGTGTGGTGGCTCCAGGCCAGTGACCAGGTCAGGGCTGCCGTGCACCGCGGGAAGGGCGCCCCCGCCCCGCCATCCATCCCGGCGGGGGTCCCGGCCGGGCGCCGGGGCATGTGTCACCCCATGGACTCCCTCGGTCTGAGGATGCTTCTGGGTCTTCCTTGACATGATCTGATCCGGGCAGGGAATCAAAGGAAGCTGCCTGGGGTTGCAGACCTCATCAGGGGTGTTTGGTGAGTTTTTTTTTAGATTTTATTTATTCATGAGAGACACACAAAGAGGGGCAGAGACACAGGCAGAGGGAGAAGCAGGCTCCACGCAGGGAGCCGGAGGTGGGACTCGATGCCAGGACCCCAGGATCATGCCCTGGGCCGAAGGTGGGGCTAATCCACTGAGCCCCCGGCTGTCCTCATCCGGGGTGCTGTGTATGTTTGTCTAGGGTTTGCTGATGAGAACCTCACTCAAATGTTTTGTGGAGTGATGCTTAAAAATGGTGAAAATTTCTGAATCTCAGACAGGGGGAGGTCATATTTTTTTCCTAAGATTTTATGTGTTTATTCATGAGAGACAGGGAGAGAGAGGCAGAGACTCAGGCAGAGGGAGAAGCAGGCTCCATGCAGGGTGCCCGAGGCGGGACTGGATCCCGGATCCTGGGATCACGCCCTGAGGGAAGGCTGACCCTCAACCAATGAGCCACCCAGGCGTCCCTATTTTCTTTTCTTTTAATTTCGTCTACGGAGTTTGTAAAAATGTCAGCTCCCAGTGGGTATTAAGTGGTGTTTTAATAGGAAAATATTTGGTAATGAAAGGAGACTTTGCTTTATAGGTGAGAAATAATAAAAATAAGGTCTGACAGTATGACTCCTCACCATGCCTTTCTAGAAAAATATGTCGATGAAGCTGTCCTCTGAAGTTGTCAGACTGAAGAGTGTGCTTAGCACGTTGACCTGATGAATGGGTCTGAACACACTGGCAAGCGTTTAAAAGAGAATGTGTATCGGAGCTGTGGCCATTCTGAAATGCCTAGTGTCTGTGGCCCCAGTTTCCTGCAGAATGAATGGAGTTTGCACAGAAAAAGTGCCAGTAAACATTTGTCCCTGGGGCTGCAGTGGCCAGAATTCCTTCAGATGCAGCTCCCCACACCACTGTGTGCTCTGCTTCTGCTGGGATGCGAGTGGCTGGTGCTGCGCGCCTCTGCTCCCGATAGTCACAGCATCGTGACCATGACCTTAGAGAGGCGGAAGAGTGTAGACTGTAACCTAGTGAGGGACCTTCTCCCCTCCTTTCTACAGATAAAGGAACTAAGGCCTCGGGCTTCTTGGCTCATGCAAGGTCACCTGGCTGGTGACCATGGTGCTGGAGTTACAACCCAGGTCTTGAGCCAGTCCTAACTCCAGCCCGCCTTTCCCTTCACCAGTTCATCCGCTGCCCGGGTACCATCCCTGGTTCCTTAATACCATCCCCGCTGTTACCCTGTTCTGACTCCCCCGGGGACGGACACTTTAGACGCTCAGTACGTGAATCCTGACCAAGGATCTTACTGATTTGTTGGCAAGACAAGATTAAGTTAGAAACCGGTGTGGACAGGGCTGGGCGGCTTCTTAGAGGAAGTGGCATCTACGCTAGGAATTGAAGGACAAGCTGACTCTCCATAGGTAAAGACTGGGGCAGGGAACAGAGAGGGCCAATGTCCCAGGTTGGGGGGACAGGCAGCGGGCCACAGAAGAGAAGGTGGTGGCAGGAGGGCAAATGTTTCTGTTGCTGTTAGTGAGGGAAGGGACTGCTCTTAAAATGTAGATTTCCAGGCCTGGGGGACCAAGTCTCAGACTCTACTGTCTATACTGCTCTAATTCCCTACACGGCTGGTGCGGTGTCCTCAATATGCTTGGTATCTGCACAGGACACGTAGGAGGAGAGGTTTGGTTTTGTTCTGTTTTATTATTTATTTATTTATTTATTTTTAAAGATTTTATTTATTTTTTCATGAGAAACACACAGAGAGAGAGGGGCAGAGACACAGGCAGAGGGAGAAGCAGGCTCCACGCAGGGAGCCCGATGTGGGACTTGATCCCGGGTCCCCAGGATCACGCCCTGGGCCGAAGGTGGCGCTAAACCGCTGGGCCACTCGGGCTGCCCCTGTTCTGTTTTAAATAAAAGATCCCTTCTCAATCTCATTTTTAGTCAGTTCTCCCTTTCCTAGCAGAAGAGCCCAGGGAAAAGGCGGGAGGAGACTCCTGCCTCCCCTCCTCACCAGGACTGTGACTTCTGTGCCACTCGTTCTGGGCGCACCAGCCCTTGACTCAGGTCACAGGTGCAGTCAGGACAGACTCGAGCAGCCCGGGTGGCGCAGCGGTTTGGCTCCTGCCTTTGGCCCAGGGCGTGATCCTGGAGACCTGGGATCGAGTCCCGCGTTGGGCTCCCTGCAGGGAGCCTGCTTGTCCCTCTGCCTGTGTCTCTGCCTCTCTCTCTCTCTCTCTCTCTCTCTCTCTCTGTCTCTAATAAATAAATAAAATCTTTAAAAAAAAAAAAGTCCAGACAGACCCACCTGTATGAGGCAACAAAAAGCTCTGTCTGAAAAATTACCCACCTCAGTTCCCGTCAGGTCCACAGCGCAAGTCACCAGGCGTACCTGGAGACCATAGCAAATCTTTCCTAGCGAGAGCAGGATGCGGCACTTAGGAGGAGGACATTTGCAATTGCACGAGGCCTTACCAGGTTTAATATCTGCTGGGCTTGAGAGAAGGCTCTTTGCCATCATCCCTATGCATGCCCCCCTCCTGCCTCAAGACGGAAGGTATCTCAGAGCCCTGAACCCGGGGCACCTGCAGCAGGTGGGATGAGGCCCACAGGTGACCTGGGTGCTCTGGGACCGCCTTTACCCCCAGTGGCAGACAGGGAGGCTGTCCCCGGGGAGAGAAGCCACGGGAGGGCCTGTCCCCAATGGGAGAGGCAGCGGGCTGCACTCTTACCCCATGACTGAAGCCACACAGCCATCCGGGTATTGTGGGGAGCGTGTTTAGGTGGAGCCCTGGGACAAAACCCAAAATACCAACACTGGCACCACGGGAGCTCCAGCTTCCCCACAAGCCTAGGGGCCTTTGGTATCAGTATTCTGAGGCTCTTACAGAATTCTAGATCCTGAAAGAACCCTGGGGTTTTGACCTCCATTCATTGACTTAAATTTCCCAGTGTCCAGAGACGTTCATTTCTCCTGAATTTAAGCAAATAAAGAAAACCTATATTCTTAGAGTCAAAAGGGTCTCATTTTACTCCAAGCAGTTTGAAACCTTCCTTGTTTCACTTTGCCTCCTGTTGAAGACTTGCCAGGGTCCAGCTACACTTAGTTTTTCGCCCAGCCGTTGGGCTGGAGGGGCCTGGGCCGATTCCGTGGCCGTCCTCCGCGTGCTGCTGGTGGCATTCCTGGTCATACGTGGTCTTCGGGGGTCAGAGCAGGGACCCACTTACCATCTTCCCACCGTTGTTCTGAGAAGCAAAGCGAGGGAAAATACACCCACTGATGGAAATTACATTGTTGGTGGGCAAGTCCACACTGCCTGGCTGGCTTTACTATCCCTGTGGCTGACTGTCCGGCCAGAACGTGGCAGGAAAGCTTCCTCAAGCCTCCTTGAGGAAGGCGTCGCTGCATGTGCCCTAGTGGTGGCTCAAACCGTGACCGTGTCAGCGTCGCCGGGGGCGCAGGCTGCCCCTCGGATGCCAGGGCCCAGCCTCCCACCTGTAGATTCGGATCCAGTGCTGTTGCGGTGGGGCCTGGGCATGTAGATGTTCTACAGTGCCCCCAGGGGGTGCCGAGGCCACACCCTGTCCCTGTGCAGCCCTCGTCCCCAGCAGAGGGCTCCCATTCTAATTCACTCAAAACCCCAGAACTGAGCCCCTACTGGGGCCGCAGAGATGATGAAGATGCAGCTCCTCTGTCCGAAGAGCCGGCTGTCCTCTGCGTGCCGGGGTGAGCACCTGAAGGAGGGGTCCATGGCTCAGGCAAGAGACCTTGGTCCCTAGTCTTCTATTAAAACTGTTATGTATTGGGCAGCCCGGTGGCCCTTCAGCCCAGGGCGTGATCCTGGAGTCCCGGGATCGAGTCCCACGTCAGGCTCCCTGCAGGGAGCCTGCTTCTCCCTCTGCCTGTGTCTCTGCCTCTCTCTCTCTGTGCCTCTCATGAATAAATAAATGAAATCTTAAAAAAAAAAAACAACAACAACCGTTACGTATCAGTCCCAGAATCGCCTGTCCTGGGGAAGGACTTCCGGTCTGTAAACTCACATGTGACAAGAGACAACACAATGATCGTCCACGGAACCCACTAGAAGCAGGACAAGGCAAACGTGCTTCCACTTCTCTGTCATTATGTGACTTTTTGCTTTCACAGGTAGAGGGGTGCATTTCTTCTTTTTGAGATACTATGCATACCCATATATGTCCATATATATGATATTCTATGTGAAGAGGTCCATGAATCTAAGGAACACAACTTGCCCAACCTCTTTTTGCATATACCTGTGTGACCAGCGTCCAGATCAAAGAGGGGTGCGTTGTCCTGGTGGGAAAGCCTGCAAAGAGTGGGACACGTGGCTGTCCAGCTTCTAACAGGCGGTGAGGAATGAGATCTTGGGCTCTAGCTTGCTCTCCTTGGCTGCAGCCCGTCAATTAACAAGTGTCTAGTGACTACCTGCAGTGTTCTAGAAACTTTCTGGTGCAAAGCAGCAGTGCCCTTCCGCTGGTAAGTCAAATAGGAGTGGTTAATGTTTTTAGGCGTCTGGTTTATAGAACAGATTTTGCGTCATCTCTTATTTATTGCATGTCTGTTATTGATCATGTTCATTGGTTTGGGACCCGTTGCTTGGGAGTGGTACCCCCTTCCTTTCCACTTCACTCTGCCTTCCTCTTTCTAAAGTATTGTATCTTTATTACTTAGGGCCCCCCAAAAGGCATAATATTACGCTGCAGCTGAGAATGGCGACCCCCACAGAAGGCAGTAACCCCAGTGGCAGACTGACACCCCGGCTGCTGACACAGCTGCGGGAGCTGGAACCGCGGGTGGCCCGTCGACGCCTTTCCCAAGCCCGCCACCGAGCCACCCTGGCAGGGCTGTTCAGTGACCTCAGGAAGACCGTTTACTCCCACTCTGATCTCACAGCCTCAAAGGTATGGGGACCTGGGGGTGGGAGGGAGTGTCTCTACATGTCTAGGGACTGTGAGGCGGGTGGGGAACCGGCCAGGGGCTCCCACTCCTACTGCTCCCACGTGGAGGCCTACAGCCTGGGTGAGGTTTGGGATCCGATGTGGGCATCAGGGTGCACTGTTTGTGGCCACCCGGGGGGAAAGCATGAGCTGGCCGTTCCCGACCTGTGGCAGACCAGCCTGGCTCGGAGGGAAGTACTAGGACCTGGTTAGCCCACGGCTCCTGTAGGGGTCCCACGTGCGGATGGGGGTGAGCCTCCAGCAGCTGCTCCCGGACCCTGCATCTCCACCCTAACACACACACACGCGCGCACACTCGTACGCACATACACATGCACATGTGTGCAACTTGGTCCTCTCCCAAGGCAACAGAGCTCTCCAGGTAAGCATTCACCTTTTCCTGCCCTTGATTTCACCTCTCTCCTTCTGTGGCCTCCTTATTGCCTATTCATGCCCCTAGCAGAGCGTGGAGGAAGGGTCGGGGCACTTGGGGTGGTGCTGGAAAGAGCAGAGCTCCTGTCGCTACAGGAGCATTATAGGAGGCCTCCAGTAGGGATGGGGCCCTGACACCTTCCCCTTCCCCCTCCCCAGCTTCTTGAAACAGAGGACGGGCCAGAAAGGACCTGTCAGCCTGGGTGGTGGTGGCAGGACTGGGAGGAGGGCCTCCGTTCCCGGCTCCAGACCTGGCACTCTTTCCAGAGTCCAGCCCGTTGCCCTGTGACTGTTTTTAGCCAGTAGGTTTTCTCCCCTGGTCTGGTGCTTTCAGCGAAGCGACACTTAAGGAGGACAGGGACCATGAGCCCCCAGCCTCCTGCCAACAGAGCTAACACAGGACTCCCTCTGACTCACTGAGCACGCAGAGCTGCTCCTCAGCGGGCACAGAGCCAGAGCCTCTGCCAAGCTGTCATTGTATTTTATTTATTCTGTTTTATTATTATTTTTAATTTAAATTCAACTAATTAACACGTACCGTATTACTGGTTTCGGAGACAGAGGTCAGTGACTCATCAGTCTTGTATATCACCCAAGGGCTCATGGCATCACGTGCCCGCCTTAATGCCCATCACCCGGTTACCCCCTCCACCCCGCTCCGCTTCCCTCCAGCAGCCCTCAGTTTGTTTCTCATGATTAAGAGTCTCCTGTGGTTTGTCTTCCTCTCCGATTTTGTCTTGATTTTTTCCCCCTTTTCCCTATGCTCCTCTGTTTTGCTACTATTCAGTCATCATCAAAAAAAAAAAAAGAAAGAAAGAAAGAAAGAAAGAAAGAAAGAAAGAAAGAAATAAAGAAAGAAAAGAAAGAAATCTTGCCATTTGCAACAACGTGGATGGAACTGGAGGGTATTGTGCTAAGCTAAATAAGCCCATCAGAACAAGACAATTATCATATACGCTCTCACTCGTGTGGAACGTGTGAATGTGTCTCGATTGAGCTGTGCCTCCGAGCACCTTTGTGCAAGGTGCCATGTAGAGCTGCGAGTTTCTTAGCTGAAAGAATCAGAGTGGAGACCCCACCTGCTCCTGTAGAAGGGTGTGGAAGGCGAGAGGGGTGGGAGGGCTCTTCCTCCAGCATCCACCGAGCCAGCCTCAGGGGCTCAGGGCAAAGAGCCTGCCCTGCATCCTGTCCCCTGGGTGCGCAGGCTTCTGCTGTTCCAGGGGTACACTGGCAACCTCAAAGTCCCTGTCATTGGCCAGTGGGGAAGTGCGCGCGGACTGGCGGCAAACCAGAGCGAGAAGGAAGGAAAGGAAGTAAATGTAGAGGAAAACTGTCTTGCACCCCCCAAAGTCTGCACCTCACGACGTGGTGCCTGAGAGCCTGGTGGGTTGGCCTCCGTCACGTGAGACATGCTACCGGCCGGGCTTCGGTCACCATGTCTGTTAAACAGGGACAATAGTAACAGTGCCCTCAGAAGCCTTGGTGGCGTTCCAACAAGGTCACTGCGTGGAAAGATGGGGCGCTGTCACAGTGGCTCAAGTGTTGCTGTTGCTTCCAGTGTATTCGCTCCCCGAGTCCCCACGGTTCCATTCAGAGCGCCTCCCTTTACAGAGGAGGAAGCCGAGGGGCCAGGAAGCTAAGCCCATGTGCCCGCAATGGCACAGCCAGGAGACAGCGGGTGGAGCAGGCCTCTCCGGCCACCTCCTGTCTCTGTCCTGATGCGGGCAAAACTCAGAATTTTGCATTCGTGGCATCCCTGAGGCCACGCTCTGTTCTGCGGGAGTCATGGTGGCCCAGAGTCCTTTCGGTGTCCGAGGGCGGTCACAGCAAAACCCCAGGCACTGGGTGGCTCGAAACAACAGAAAATTACCGTGCTGGACGTCTGGAGGCTCCAAGTCCAAAATCACGACATCCACAGGGCCACGCTCCCTCGGAAAGCTCCAGGGGAGAAGCCTCGGCCGGCAATTCCTCGGTGTTCCTTGCCTTAGAGAAGCCTCACGGTGGTCACGTGGCCGCCTTCTCCCCATGTCTCCACCTTGTCCTGCCTCTGTGTGTGTTTGTCTCTGCATCCAAATGTCCCCACCTCATAAGGGCACCAGTCCTGTTGGATTAGGGCCTACTCTAAGGACCCCATTTTAGCTTGATTGCCTTTCTTTACGAAGGGCCAATTTCCAAACAGGGTCACCTTCACAGGTTCTGGGGCTTAGAACTTCAACATATCTTTTTCAGGGAGATATAATCTGACCCAGAACGAAGGCCCTAATCAGCATGCCAAAAAAAAAAAAAAAAAAATTCCAGAAAGAGAATTTCCTTGAACCGCACCTGGTTTCCCTGGCTCTGTCCCCACTGAGCCAACACAGTGGCTCACTCAGGACCAGATGGCTGGAATGACCTCACCTCATCCCGATTGAGCTCCGCATCTTCTTGGCACCTCCCGCTGGAATCAGCCCCCCCCCCATGTGTTCCCATGGCCCTTTGCTCCCAGGCCCTTCAGCGCTTACTGGATTCCAGCTTGTATTACGTGTAGTTGGTTTCCAAGCTTGTCTTGTCTTTCCTGCTGGAAAGCTGGGCCATTCTACCTGCTGTGAGCCCCCCAGCCCCGGGGGCTTAACACCTGTCTCTGCCTGTTACCTGTGCCCAATGAGCGGCTGTAGCTCCGGACAGGTATCAGGTGCCTGCGTAATAAACAACATTTAGCATTTCTTGTTTTTGAACAATCCTGCAGTTACCATTTGACTCTGTATGGAATACGGGGGAGAAGGAAGGAAAGAAGGAGGGGGGAGGGCAGTGCTCGTGACTTAGTCCTGCAGCAACAGGACATTCAGAGTCCGAGTGGACGGAGCATTTGAGGAGCTTTCGGGTCACCCAGAGCGGACGCATTTCGCAGATAACCACCGTGGTCAGCATAGCACCTAGCATAGCACATAAGCAGCCGGTTGCTCGTTGTGACAACTGAGCAAAGTTAATCCTGGGGTCTTGGGGCCAGCCTGGGGCTGCTCTTCTCTCACGTTGATTCCACTTTCAAGGAGTGTATGTAGCTGTTCCCTTCTGAAGCCCTAGTAGTTTGCCCAACACGGCTTGTTCCAAAATATTTGAAAATTTCTGTGAGAACCATTTCCAGAATACAAATGAAACTTCATGCCGCCTGCGTATCAGAACAAACTTCCCACCATTTTGATCGACAAATGTCAAGGAAGGTGACTTTGCATCTGAGGGAGTATGGCCTCAGACCGGGGAATGGACTCCCGTGGCGGAAAAACCCCGGTCTCTGCGGTGGAAAGCTGGCTTTTCAGCATTGCCCATCTCTGTCCCCAGTGGCAGGTTTTGAATAAGGCCAAGAATCACATTCAGGAGTTGGAACAAACCTTGGATAATCTGCTGAAGCTGAAAGGTAATAGATCCCCATCTGCCACCCCCATCTCCTTCCCAGGGAAAGACTGGTTCGTTTTTCCATTGATAAAGAGGGATTAGGGGTGCTTGGGTAGCTCAGTGGTTGAGTGTCTGCCTTTGGCTCAGGGTGTGACCCTGGTGTCCTGGGATTGATCAGACTCCTTACAGGGAGCCTGTTTCTCCCTCTGCCTGTGTCTCTGCCTCTCTCTCTCTGTCTCTCATGAATAAATAAATACAATCTTAAAAAAAAAAAAAGAAAGGAAAAAGAAAACAGAGGGATTGGGTTCAGCCAAGTGAACAAATACTGCATGCCCAGCGTGTGCCAGGCCCTACATCTGCGCCGGTCCAGTAGGGTTCATGCCCCTGCACTCAGGGACTTTACATCTGGACAGATAGACAGACACCATCAGGCACCTGATCCCATCTTGAGAGACCAGAGAGGAAGCCGACTGGGGTTTGTCACACTCAAAAGCAAAGGCAGGCATGGCTCCCTTTCTTGGCACTCAGTTTGGGAGAGGTGGTTGCCTGGGCATGTGGTGGAAACTAAACCTTAAAAGGGATATTTTGGTGTCTTGATTAAGAAGGGCCAGTTCTTTTATTTATTTTTTTTTAGGTTTTATTTAGATTTTATTTTATTTTATAAAAAAGATTTTATTAAGAGTCCCATGTGGGACTTGATCCCAGATCCCAGATCCCGGGATCCTGCCCTGAGCCAAAGGCAAACGCTCAATGGCTGCTCCACCCAGGCGTCCTGAGACGGGGCCAATGCAAGGAGCTTGTCCCCTCACCCCTAGAAGGAGAGGTGAAACTGGGCCCTTGACTCCCTAACACCAAACCTGGACGGGGTCAGGGACCCACTCATGGTCCACCTAGATCAGAAGGGCAGCAGAGACTCGACAAAGGCCAGACTTCCTCCTTTGAGACTCCGGCCTTCACCTCCCCAACAGAATCCTTCAACCTGGAGGATGGGAACGCAAACAGCTTAGAGGAAGTCAAGGCGGAGTATGCCAGCATGTACTCTGGAAATCCCAGGTAAGATCCCCAAGAACCACCTCACAATCAGCAAGGAGGGAAGGTCTCAGCGAGATAGACAATCACGTTGGTGTTTCCTATATGATTAGCCTCTGACCCCAACCCCATTCATCACATAAGCCATCCTTTTCTTACCAATTTGAGATTCACACTTAGTCCCATACTAAAATCTTATCAATACCTCTATCGTGTGCCCACATGAGAATGACTAAATTTCTTTTAAAATGATAATAATTGGGACTTTTCATTAGACACATTATAAACCTGCAGCAATTAAAGTGTGGTTCTGAGCTCAGGAATAGATTAATTATATTTTATAATTATTTTATTATGATTAATTACGAGTGAAATTCAGTGCCTTTGTTCAAGATCATTTGTATTTCCCTTCCCGGGAATTTTTGTGACTATTCTTTGCCCATTTTCCTCTTGGGTTGGTGGTGTTTTCCTTACATAGTTGTAGAAGCTCTCTATACTGAGAAGTTAGCTCTCTTTTAGGATATGACTTGCAAATAAATATCCCTTGGTCATTTGCTTTATTATTTTGCTTTTGATGTTTTTGTGTTTTGTTGTTGTTGTCTTGGCCACAGAAAAATGAAGTCTAACCTGTCAATCTGCTATCGTTACTTAGGTTTGCAAGAATACAAGGCCTCCTCTGCTCTGAAATTTAAAAAAAAGAAAAAAGAAAAAAAAAGGAATCCTCCTATGTTTTCTTCTGGTGCACTTGTTTTTAAACTCAACATGATACCGCCTAGGGATTACTACTATCAGGATGAAGAGGTTCTGGGGTACAAATCCCAGTTTTCCAACTTGTGTCATGTTGTTCTACTCTAAAAAAAAAAAAAGATTTATTTATTTGAGAGAGAGATGGCACGGGGGTGGGACAGAGAAATCTGGAGAGAGATTCTGAAGTGGACATCTCGCAGAGTGAGGCAGGGCTGGACCTCACTACGCCAGATCACAACCTGAGCCAAAACCGAGAGTAGGACGGTTAACCAACAGCGCTGCCAGGCGTCCTTGTTCCACTCCCTTAAAACCGCCTTTCAAAGAGCAGAATTTTAAAATCTTGATAAAGTCTAACTCTTCCATTTTTTTCTTTTTTAGGTGGAGCTTTTGGGTTAAACCTAAGTATTTTGTGTTTTGGGGTGCTATTGTACATGGTACTTTATAAAATTTCCCTTTCCAATTGTTCTTTGCTAGTATATAGAAATACTGTTGGTTTTCGTATGTTGACCTTGTATCTGGCCACCTTGCTAAACACCTTTCTCAGTTCTAGTCATATTCGTAGATTCTTCAGGATTTTTTACATAGATTACAGTGCTGTCTGCAAACAGAATCAGTTTTACTTCTTCCTTTCCAACCTCTATATCTTTTACTGCTTTTGTTCACCTTATTGGATGCCTAGAATCTTCAGTATGATTTTAGATAGAAATGGTAAGAGGGAACATCCTTGTCTTATCTCTGATCTTAGCAGAGAAATAGCTAATCTTTTACTCTTAAGTTTGACGTTAGCTGTAGATTTTTGTAGGTGCCCCCCCCTTTATGGAAGATTTTATTTATTTATTCATGAGACACACACAGAGAGAGAGAGGTAGCGACACAGGCAGAGGGAGAAGCAGGCTCCATGCAGGGAGCCCGAAGCGGGACTCAAACCTGGGACTCCAGGATCATGCCATGAGCCGAACGCAGGTGCTAAACCGCTGAGCCACCCAGGGATTCCCCTGTAGATGCCTTTTATCAGGTTAAGTTCCCTTCTATTCCTGGTTCGCTAAGAGTTTTTGTCATGAGCGGATGTTGAATTTTGCCAACTGCTTTTCTGCATCTGTTGAGGGGATCATATGGCTTTTCTTCTTTAGTCTGTTGATACAGTGAGTTCCATTGATTGACTTTCCACGTTTGAACCAGCCATCCTGCATTCCTGGGTCATGATGTGACCACACACACAGACTAAAATTGTGTTCAGAGTCTCAGTGTCACTGTTGATGAGGGACATTAGTTTGTCGTTCTCTTGTTTCTGTTTTCTCACCAGCCTGGTCTCAAATAAGGTTCATCAGAAAGGCTCTGCCACCTGGTGCCCAACTGAGGCAGTCGGGAAGGATGCTGAGGGGGAGGAAGAGGAGGAAGAGGAGGAGGAGGACCAAGACGAGGAGGAAGAGGAGGAAGAAGAGGAGGAGGAGGAGGAGGAGGAGGAGGAGGAGGAAGAGAAAAAAGTGGTGCTCTTGCACTCCCCAATCACCTTGTTGCCAGACCTCATGGAATTTGAACGGTGTGAACAGCTGAGAGGGGTGGCTTCGGGCACAGGCTGTGGGGAAGGGAACAGAGGCTCTGTCTGCGGCACGCGGTATCCTTTGTGCACACTCAGACCAGGCCCCAAATCTGGGAAGCTCCAGAATTTCCATACGGGAGGGGTTCAGGGTGGGCTAGAGAGAGAGCCTTAGAGCTGCATTGCACAGCACATACACTGAGCTGACTCAGACTGGGTATTTATTTGGGGTGACTGTGGGGGCTGTTGATGGGATTACAAGGACCAAACACCATATACCCACCACCACCACCAGCAGCAGCAGCTGTGTTACTGGTCTTATAGTAAGAAATACAGTGAACACCTGGCTCAAACCCCCCACTGCCACTCCCTGCCCTTCCGCAGACTCAAGCCCATGGCAGCCACGGTGGCCGCTGGAGGTATCGGCCCAATAGAAGGAGGCTCGCTCCACCGCTGAGCCTGACTGTCAGGCCCCGAGTCAGCAAGCCTCCTGGCCTGTCCGCACACTCGTGGGGAGTGGCGCTGAGCAGGCGATGCTCCTCGCCGTCTCGCCTTCGGGGAGAGGCTCTTGGGGACGGCAGGGAGACATGGGGAAGGACCCCAGGGCGGAGATCCACGTCCTCCGCGCTGGCTTCTGCTCTCTGAGCATCTAGGCCACGCAGACTGGGAAGGCCAAGCCCCTGGACACCACAGGGCTGCAGCGTCCTGAGGAACCGGTTCCCGGAGGGGCCGTGGTCCGCCAGCTTCCAGCCTCAGGTCTACCGTTTCTGTTCCAGGTACCTCAACTTCTACAAGCAGACGATGGACCTCCTGATCGGGAACGGGGTTGTCTCCTCCCAGGAGGTGATGCTCCCCATCGTCTCTGCGGCCATCTCCCACCTGTGGCAGAGCCTTTCTGAAGAGATGAAGGCCAGCCTCCTGCAGGCCTGGGCACAGAGGCACAGCACCCTCTCGAGCCTTGCGGGTGCCTGTCCGGAGCCGGCCTGCACCGAGGGCAGCACGAAGGACAGTGGGGTTGACAGCCAAGGAGCCAGCTGCTCGCTCGTCTCTACCCCGGAGGAGGTGAGCGCACCCTCCTGCGGTGGGTGGAGGGCTTCGCCGGGGAGCTGGTGTCCACGCTGCAGAACCCGACATCTGCCTGAGGTCACTCACCAGGTTTGAGGGAGGGGTTCGATTCAGACTCACACAGTGGGTTTCTGATTTATCCCACATAAGCTCCACAACCACGGGATGGTGTTTCTTTCCTCCTGCTTCCTGACCTTTCCGTAGGGATTAGAGAAGAGAAGGCTCAGAAGGTTGTATCAGTTGGGATTTTTTCTTTTTTTTAATGCAAGTTACTTGCTCATGAAACCATGGGGACATGTACTGCAGACAGTCAGGGAGGTCCCAGGGTCAGGAGGGCTTCCCACTGTCTCGGTGATGTCACCACGGACTTGGTTCTTCCCCTCTCCCTGCGGTGCCTCATCGTCAAGTTGGCATCTCACCTCCTCTCCCCACATGACCGGGGAGCTGCCCTGGTCCTTCGCAAATGCAGTTTCCTAAGGAGGCAGGTACCTGCAAACACCTTGGACCCACTGAATCAGAGTCCCTGCATTTTTTAAAAGATTTTATTTATTTACTCATGAGAGACAGAGAGAGAGAGGGGGGGGGGCAGAGACACAGGCAGAGGGAGAAGCAGGCTCCATGCAGTGAGCCCGACGTGGGACTTGATCCCGGGTCTCCAGGATCACGCCCTGGGCTGAAGGAGACACTAAACCACTGGATGCCCACCCCTCCGGGGATCTGCAGCCCTTGCATTTTTAACAGATGCCCTGGGGTAACTGATGCACGAGGGCATTATTGGAGGGAACGCCCAGTGCAGAAACGCAACGGTCACCTGTCACTCCACCAGCCTTTGACTTCTCATCTGTTTGTCCACTAATATTGGGCCCACAATGAGAGGACGTGTTCTCCTCCGTCGTGGCCGGAGCAGGGCCAGGACACCAGCCGCGGAAGAGACCATGCGTCAGCCAGCCTAGGTGTCCAGAAGTGCCTGGCCCTGGGGTCTCACACAGAGCAGGCAAAAGGAAAATACATGCCAAACGTGTGGACAAGCCTGTCAAACTGTAAACTGTGTGTGTGTGTGTGTGTGTGTGTGTGTGTGCACGTTTGCAGCATGAACCTTTCCTCAAGAAAGAGCAGACCCAAGCCAGAATCCAATAATGACCCCAGATTGTGCACGCAGCTTCTCTTACCTTTCTCGGGAAGGGCTGAGGGCTCGTATTCTTCTGGAGTTGGGGGGGGGGGGGCTGGCAGCAGATCCATCAGCGGTGCCCAGCTCAGGGCTTTACCACACCCAGTCCCCAGGCCTGGGCCAGCCGGGGTTGGTGCCACGATGAGCGGAACGGAGAACAGTTCTGCCCAGGGCAGGGACAGAGCCACCGTTACCCCACTTTGGCTCCTAAGTCAGTTACAGTGAGACCTATCCTATTGCTCCTGGTCCACCTGGAGAGGTTCTTCGGCAGAACGACTGTGTGTGGGGCCAGCCGGTGGGGGGCGGGGGTGTAGTAGGGTCAGGTGTGCCTGGGAGGCCGGTAAGTGTGCTGGGTGCTCCAGACCACCACAGAGCCTGGCAGTGCCCCCACCCCCCTGCCCAGGCTAGCTGCGAGGGCGCTGTGCATAGATGAGGACACTGTGTGGCCCAGAACCTCACTGGGTAAGGCCTAGGACCTGGCTGCGGGCCTGCTGGGAAAGAACACAGAGTGGATGGATGGGCTTCTGGGCTGGTCCTTTCAGTGACCTCTTTCCAGATCCTCCTTGAGATGAGCAAAGGAATATTACAAAGAAGGACACCGTAAAATGTCCAGAAGATCCAGAAGATCGGGGCATCTGGGTGGCTCAGTGGTTGAGCATCTGCCTTTGGCTCAGGTTGTGATCCCGGGGTCCTGGGATTGAGTCCCATATCGGGCTCCATGCAGGGAGCCTGCTTCTCTCTGCTGGTGACTCTACTTCTTTAAAAAAAAAAAAAAAAAAAAGATCCAGAAGATCGCGAGAACGGCCATCCACATGGCCAGAGTCCCATACAGTTCAGGGGAAGCAAATTGTTAGAAGACAGGAAGGACAGCAGACCTCCAGAGAAAGAGCAGTGTGTCCCAGGTGAGGGGACAAGAGGGACCCTGCGGACCCTGCCAGAGCCTGCCAACCCAGGGCCCGAGAGCTCCCTCTCCTCTTCTCAGCTGTCAGACACAGTGATGCATGCCCAGTGAAAATTTTAAGATGAGAACACCCCATGCAATATTTGGGCCCTTCTTGCGCTACGAAATTATTCATTCTTTATCTAAAAATTCAAATGTAACAAAGCATCCCGCACCCGTACTTGCTAAATCCTACATTACTCGTTGTAGATGACGGTCTTGCAGAGTGTGTAATAGTCTTCAAAAGTTAAAACAGGACTGAAAAACTATCTAAATGATGGCAAGATTGGAAATACAGGAAATGACCGGAGGGAACTAGGTCAATATGTCAACACTGGATCTCTCTGGGTAAAACCGTTTCTCAGTGATTTTTATTATTTTATCTGTTTCTGTTTTCCAAAATTTCTGCAATGAACATGTGTTTCTTCTATAAAGCAGGTAATATTCAATAAGAGCTAACATACTGGAGGCGTTACTATGTGCTGGGTACTTCACGTACCTCATCTCATTTAATTCCTGCAACATCCCTATAGGTAGGCCCGGTCGTGATTCCCTTTGTGTAAGAGGAGGCCTGGAGAAATGAGGCCGCTTGTCTGAGGTCACACGGCTTCGTGAGCAGCACGACCGGGAGCTGGCTCCCCTGCAGCCTCAGCCCCAGAACCGCCAACCTCCTACCCCGCCGTCCTGACGCGAACCCTGGGTGCCAAGAGCCTCCGCGCCTGGGGAGGTGTAGATGAGTCCTCTTCCAGCGTAAATGGAAGCCTGGCTCTGGCTGCTGCATCTCGTGCCTGAGCTCTCACCTTCTAGAAGAAGACCCAGGGGTGCCTGGGTGCTTCAGTCGCTTAGGTGTTTGACTTGGTTGCGGCTGGGGTAGTGATCTCAGGGTCGCGAGACTGAGCGCTGTGTCGGGCTGTGTGCTGGGCACGGAGGCTGGAGGCTGCGTGGGATGCTCTCTCCTCTCCCTCTGTCCCTCCCCACCCCTGCCCTGCTCATCGCCCCCTCTCTCTCTAAAGAAAGAAAGAAAAAAAGAGAAAGACGGACAACCACAGTCTTTGGTGCTTACTGCCCCCCCCACCCCGCTCTGGGTGGCAAGCGCTTACAGGCACCTCCCAGGAAGCTCACCAGGCCGCGACCCTGCATTTGGGCCCCAGCCTTCCCACACCCACCCTTTGGGACTGAGGGGTGAGGAGGGAGCCTCCCCGCCGCCAGCCGCCCAGAGCAAGCGCCCAGCTGTAGTTCTTTCTGACACACCGTGCTCTGTGCCTTCCTTCAGATACTCTTTGAAGATGCCTTCGATGTGGCGAGCTTCCTGGACAAAAGCGAGGCTCCAAGTACTTCTAGCTCTAGGTGAGGAGGGGGCAGGGCCCCGTGTGTGCAGCGTGTTTAGGAGCCGCTCCCCTGCGGCCCCCGAGGGAGCCAATTCCGCGCAGTCCTTAAAGACCCACTCTGGTCTGTGGCTCCTGGGGCTGGGCCTGGGATCGGATGGCGCCGCTGGCGCCCCGGCCCAGGGCTGGGTGGCCGCGGGTTGTCCCCACCGCGCTGTCTTCCCCGAGGGAGGGGGCCGGGGGCGGCTTGCAGCGGTGTCGGCCTGAGAGGCGGGCGGCTCCAGGGCATCGAGAACCTGTGGCCACGTGGAACCGGCCTGTCCCTGCGCAGGAGGCGTCTGAGCATGGGGGGAGCAGCGGCTTTCCGGGCTGCTGCGCGGAGAGAAGGGAGGAGGGGACAGCCGGTGGCCCATGAAGTGAGAAAACACAAAGCAGGATCTGGGGAGATTCCAGAACGAGCAGCTTGATTCAACCTGCAGCACGGAGGGGGGGGGGGGCACCTTCGCAAAGAGAGCTAGCTTAGCATCGAGATTTCATGCTAAGTTTGAAAAGCTGTGGTCTTAACAGGGCCCAGGCCCTTCCAAAGGCTAAAAAGAAGCCCGGAACATTCCGTTTTCCTGCTTCGGGTGGGAGGCGACTGCTGCCTCGTGTGCCAGCGAGTATCCTCCCTCCCTCCCTCCCCAGGCGGCGCGGCCAGCCCGTCCCTGCTCACCGGCCTCCACACACTTGTCCAAATTCGCCAAAGTGCTTTTTAGGGGTGACACAAGCTCTTCTCAGCTGTGCATGGAGTTTGGTTTTGCTGAAACAGGCTGGAGGCAGACTTTTCCTATTTCTGAGCCAGGCTCAGGCTGTGAGGACCAGTTTGTGCCAGAATGTTCTTGCCAAGCAGTATCTGGAACTCTTTACTCTACTGGGAGAACCGGAAAACAGTCTATTAAAAAATGTTTTCTGCTATCCTTGGAAAAGGCAGGGATCACTTCCAGAGGGTTCCTTCACAACTAGTGGGGTCTCGCCCTGAGAGGGTGTGAGGTCAACACATAGGCTGACCCAGCACCTCTTGAGGCTCTTATTTTAAATATTTTATTTATTCATGAGAGACACAAAGAGAGAGAGAGGCAGAGACTCAGGCAGAGGGAGAAGCAGGCTCCGTGCAGGGAGCCCGATGTGGGACTTGATCTCAGGACCCCGGGGTCATGCCCTGAGCTGAAGGCAGACGCTTCACCACTGAGCCCCCCAGGCATCCCACCTCTCAAGGCTTCTGAAGTCGTTGGGCTGCACCCCCCACCGCCGCCCCCATCCCAGGAAGGCAATGGGAAGGAGTTTGCAAAACAGGCTGCCTCCCTTCAGGACACCTTGTGCTCCGTGCTCCCCTCCTGCAGAGGGAAGGCATCCCAGAGCCCGACCTCAGGTGTGGCCTGTGCCCCCCAAGCTCCTGGGCAGCTGTGGGGGACCAGATGCAGCTATACGAGGGTGGCCCCGAGGGAGAGAGGCACCTGTGCTCCTTCTTCCAGAGGCCACCGCTCAGAATGCTAAATTAGGGCACGGAAGCCAGTCTCCCGAGGGTGACCACACTTTTCCCGTGGGCTCCACACATGACGGCGGAGCAACACAGGCCTCCCGGAATTCACCTGGGTGCTTACTGGTGCTTGATTCACACCGTGATCCAGGTATCTTAGCAGGTGCCAGCAGAGGCCACAGATGAGGAATCTAAATACTGTTTCTTCTCCTTTCTGTTGTCAGCTCGGTGTTTGCCAACTGCAACCCAGAATATCCGGAGGAGAAGTTTCAGCTCTACATGCAGATCATCGAGTTTTTTAAAGGCCTTTGCTGTGTTAACACTCAGTTAAAACAGGTAGGACAGAGCAGAGTGGAGGAGACCTCGGCTCGCCTCCCTTAGGCTGGCAGGAAGGAGTGTTGAACCCCCCCACTGGAGGCCCCAGCGCCTCATTCTCTTGGCCTGCTCTGAGGCCAGTGGGCATCAGCCTGATACACTCTGGGGGTTGGAAGACATCCAGGGAAATGGAGGGCAGCCTGAGATGAGGAGCCCCCCGAGTGGCCAGCAGGTCCCAGGGGCCTGACCCTTGGCCTGCATCTGTCAATGTTGTGTGACCGCTCGGCCCCTTTCCAAGAGGCCCAGCCGTTCTGTTGTCTTCTGAGACTCTGGGCTAATGTTTGCTGTCGGCGTTTGAAGGGAGTCATTTCTGCTTCCCAAGAGCTGACTGTGTCTTGATTAGAAGGTACATTCCAGAAACTTCTGGAGGAAAGGGAAGTTATGCCTGAGCCACCAAGGGGACAGGCCCTTTCAGATTCATAGCCAAGGATTTTCCCCACTAATTCAGCAAAGATACAGCTGTTTCTTTAAAAAAAAAAAAAAGTAAGCAGTTGGGGATCCCTGGGTGGCTCAGTGGTTTAGCACCTGAGCCTTCGGCCCAGGGTGTGATTCTGGAGTCCCGGGATCAAGTCCCACGTCGGGCTCCCTGCACGGAGCCTGACTCTCCCTCTGCCTGTGTCTCTGCCTCTCTCTCTCTCTCTGTCTCTATGTCTCTCATGAATAAATAAATAAAATGCCGCTCTCTAGAGATATCCTACATATATTTATATATTCTTTCAAACACAAGTGAGGAACTATGCTATCCATTGTGTTGTAATATATATATATATTTTAATTTGAGAGAGCTAGAAAGAGAGAGCACATGAGTGGGAGGAGGGGAGGGACAAAGAGAATCTCAAGTAGACTCCCCACTGAACGCAGGCTCCATCTCCAGATGCTGAGATCATGACCTGAGTGGAAACTACGAGCTGGATGCCAACCAGACTGAACCACCCAGGCTCCCCCTCTTTTCTTTTTAAATAGTATGTCCCACAGAGGACGACCTTTTATTCCTTTTATTTCCAACAGCTGCATGGTAACCACTGGGTGGGTGCATGGTGGTGTAATTCACTGTCCTCCATGGATGGGCATTTGGATAAAGCTTTGAGAGGCCTCCTCACTCTCTTATGGGATCCTGGAAACACCCCAAAAACCAGTTCTGTTGTGTGCAGGAAAACCCTTTCTGAAGATCATGGAGTGTGGAGTTGAGTGAGATGGAAGTGGGACCCCCCCCCATAGCCCTTACTTCCTGGCTGGGAGCTGGAGAAGGTGTAGCAAGAGATGGGGGTAGACCCTGAGGGAGATGCTGGGGCCTTCCTTCCATCTGCCTGGGGCCCGGCATCGACACTCTTCCCCCCTGTGTTTTGCAGGAACCAGACCTCCCCATTGACGATGAGATGATAATGCTGAGGTGCATGGAGACCTTTGACGATGAAGATCTGTGATACGGCAGGGCTGGGAGGGGAGGGCATGAACAACGAGGTGGGCATTCATGCCGGCAGCCGAGGCTGTTCCTGCTGCCGCCTCCCCGGACGTTTGAGAGTGGCTGTCCCAGAGCATTTGGAAGGTTCCAGTTTCTGATTATTATAAAGTCTTTGAAAGCAGTGTGGCCCTGCGTGCATGTTTCAGGGTTGTCTGGTGCAAGTAGTTAGCCTGGCTGCTGCAAGGCACACACCGCTCCTCCTCTGCTCCTATTCAGGGGGTCCCTGGATGCAGCCTGGCTGAAGCCCTGGCCACGGGCCTTTCCAGAAAGGACAGGCAGGAGCTGTCCCAGAGGCACCATGACATTAGGTACTTGCAGCACACTTTGGGCTCAGGGCATAGTTCTGGAGGGCTCTGGAGAGTTCTGGAGGCCACGCACTGAACCTGCAGGCTCTGGGAGCCCAGGAATGGTGCTGCCCACCTCGGAGCCACAGGACGTCAGGGTAGAACCAGCTTCATCTGCTTCCACTGCTGATTAAGGCCCCTACATGGAGCTCAAGCCAGGCTGCATGGTGCTCTGAGTGCTTTCTGGCGAGGTTCCTAGGCAGGCACACAGGGTGTGACAGTAGATGCTATGTGTCCACTTGACCCAGGTATTTATTTGGTCAAACACTATTCTCCATGCTTCTTTAAAGGTATCTTTAGATGAGATGAACATTTAAACCAGTAGACGTTGAGTAAATATGGAGGAATTACCCTCCAGAATAGGGGCCAGCTTCATCCGACCAGGTGAAGGACTGAATAGAACAGAAAACTGACCTCCCGCGAGGTCACCTGTGACCACCTTCACCTGCCCGGTCTGTCAGCTGACCCTGCAGAGTTCAGACATTGCAGCTTCTACAATCACACGCGCCCGTTCCTTAAAATCTTGTGTGTGTGTCCGCACATGTATGTAGTGTGCAGGTGCGTCTGTCATGTGGACATGCACATGCGCACACGCACGTCCTGCATCCTAGGGGCTCTGTTTCTCTAGGGGACTCTGACACACCCACGAGTGTGCGGAGGCCGGGCTCCCTGGCCTTCCAGTCCCTCATCACAATGACGGCCACCGCCTCCCCGAAGGCCTCCCCGGAAGAAGCCGAGGCAGGCTAAGTGTTAGGACCCAGGCGCAGGCACCCACCTGCTCTCGGCCCCAGCGCCCACCCTGTGCCTGCACCCCGCACAGGCCCACCCCAGGGACCCCCCAGGGCTGCTAGGCAAGGACTGTAGCCACAGCTTGACTGTTTATAAACAACCAAACCGGGGTGGGGGGTGGGGTGGGCGTAGGGCGGAAGGGCTTTCTCCTCGGGGGTGCCCACACCTGTGCTGGGAAGGAAGGAAGGGAAAGAGGCGCCCTGGTGGCCTCAACGCCCAGACGCCCGGTGCTCACCACCAGCCCCGGCCAGGCCACAGTCAGAAACAAGCCAGCGTGTGGGAAAGCACGAGTCAGACTTTACAGACGTGCCCGCGCGTAGCAGGCCCTCGAGGAACCTGGCTCTGGCCGCACCCAGGCCCAGGTAGTCCTGGAGCGTGGGCGCAGGGGGGCCTGGTCAGAGTGGCCTCCGTGGAACCAACGCCGTGTCCTCTCGCCCACAGCCACGTGCTAGGAGTGTCCCCACCTGCACTCCGCCCCCCTGACAGCCCCTGCGGCCCACCCCGCAGGGCTCACTGGGTGGATGTATTAAAGTCCCCCGAGCTGCTGGCTGTCCCCCCCCCCCCACCTGGGCCTCTGCTGGTCCTCCTGCGACCTGACTGACGACATCCTCCCGTATCGGCCAGAACTGCACCTGTCAGCACAACAGACCCCCCAGGATGGGTACAAGGGGGCGGGGGTGTAGGCATTCATCACCGAGGCTGCAACCCTGAAGCCTGCGCCCCAGCCAGCTGGACCCTCAGGCGGGCGTTAATGCTGCAGGTGGGGGGCCGGTTAAAATAAGGGCCCAAGGAGGCCAGTAGGTTGAGGGAGTTCTGACCCTCCGGGGAGCCGACCTGAGCAAGCCAGAGCCTACGGCAGAGCCGGCGCACCCGCTTCTGAGAAAGTGCAATTCAGGAACAGTCCATGCGACCGCGACGCGGGAAGGTCCATCCGAGCACGACGCAGGAAGGTCCAGCAGGGGGCGATCCGGGAAGGTCCAGCAGGGGGCGACGCGGGAAGGGTCCAGCAGGGGGCGACGCGGGAAGGTCCAGCAGGGGGCGACGCGGGAAGGTCCAGCAGGGGGCGACGCGGGAAGGTCCAGCAGGGGGCGATCCGGGAAGGTCCAGCAGGGGGCGACGCGGGAAGGTCCAGCAGGGGGCGACGCGGGAAGGTCCAGCAGGGGGCGACGCGGGAAGGTCCAGCAGGGGGCGACGCGGGAAGGGTCCAGCAGGGGGCGATCCGGGAAGGTCCAGCAGGGGGCGACGCGGGAAGGGTCCATTAGGGCGCCCGAGCCAGGATGCGGGGCTGGAGCAGCAGGAGCTGAGAGAGGGTGCGGGGGCAACGGGGGCGAGCTCCTCACCTCCTGGCCGAGCCAGCGGGACGGGGGCGGAGGGGAGCTGCTCCTGCGGCCAAGGCCCCCGCCCCGCAGGCCTCCTCCTGCTCCCGGCGCCCCAGGACCACCCAGCCGTGGGCTCTGCGGGGCTTGGGCGCCCACCGCGGCTCCCGCCTCGGCGCTGAGACGCTGGGACTGGGTTTTGCTGGAGGGACGGGAGCCCGCCGGCGGCCGCGTGCGCGGACCGGGGGGCAAGGGCGCCGCGCTCCTCACAGCCTGGTGGCCCCGGCAGCCTCCGGGGTGTCTCCGCGGGGATCGGGGCACAGGCCGGCCAGCTGGCTCCCCGCCGGCGGCGCTTCCCCAGCCTCCAGCCGCGGCCAGAACGGGAGGTGCCGGAGGCGGGGGCGGGCGGCCGGGCCGCAGGGCAGGCAGGGGAGGCCGTACACCTGCAGGGTCGCCGCGGTCTCCTGGGGCTCCTGGACCTGGTGCCACGCCCGCAGGCCTCTCTCCTCCGGGCTTCCTGCGGGGAGGCGGCCGGTCGGGGCGCGGCGGGCACTGGCGCCCTCTCGGCACCCCCACCCACCCGCCGGGGCCCCGCCTGCCCCGCGCCCAGCTGTCACATCTGGGGGCGCTGGGACGTCCCCGAGCTCCCAGCGCCGCGGGGCACCCCCTCCCTCCCTCCCTCCCTCCCTCCCTCCCCTTCAACCAGCCGGTCTGTCCACGCTTAGTTTCTAGAATGCGAGTGCACCTGACACTTGGCCCAGAGAACAGATGTGGCCAATAGAGGGCCACGAGGCAGGTGCTATCCTAAAGGTCCTCTCGAGAGGCCGTGGAAGGTCCAAGAAGGGAGCATTGAAAGCCATCCGTGGGCAGCCCGGGGGGCTCCGCGGTTTAGCGCCGCCTTCAGCCCAGGGCGTGATCCTGGAGACCCTGGATCGAGTCCCGAGTCCCGCATCGGGCTCCCTGCATGGAGCCTGCTTCTCCTCCCTCTGCCTGTGTCTCTGCCCTCCCCTCTCTCTGTGTGTCTCACATGAATGAATAAAATCTTAAAAAAAAAAAAAGAAAAAAGAAAGAAAGCCATGCGTGACGGCGGCCCTGCACGCCTCGCCAGACATCCTCAGCACCCAGAGACTCAGTCTTGGACCTTGGGACACTGTTACCCTCCATTCTCATTGTTCTCCCCCACCCCACCCCACCCCCATTAGCCTGTGAGCTTCTGGAAGGTGGTAGGCGTGTCTTTCTGCTTTTTGCATTCTCAGGACATAGCACCTGGGACACAGTAAGTGTGCAAGTGTTTGATAGGTCTTTATAGAAAGAGAAGGAAGGAAGGAAGAGACAGAGAAAGAAGGGAAAGGGGAAGGGAAGGGAAAGAAGAAAGGAAAGGGAAGGGAAGGGAAGGAAAGGAAAAAGAAGGGAAGGGAAGGGAAGGGAAGGGGAGGGAGAGGGAAGGGAAGGGAAGGGAAGGGAAGGGAAGGGAAGGGAAGGGAAGGGGAAGGGAGGGAGGGGAAGGGAAGGGAAGGGGAAGGGAAGGGAAGGGAAGGGAAGGGAAGGGAAGGGAAGGGAAGGGAAGGGAAGGGAAGGGAAGGGAAGGGAAGGGAAAGAAAACATGTGTTCTCTCCAACTAGACTTTGGGCACTTAGCTGTTTTTCTTTTTGCTTCTGGTGTGTTTCTCACCTTCGGGACCTGTTACAGCTGAACTGAGTCCCCCCCACCCCCAATAGTATTTTGAAGCCCTAACGCCCCTACCTCAGAACACAAATATATTTGGAGATAGGACCTTGAAAGAAGTGATTCTGTCCAAGATGAGGTCTTTAGGGTGGTCCCAAATCTAATCTGACCGCTGTCCTTCTATGAAAGGATTAGGACACACAGAGAGACCCCAGGGATGTGCCCACACAGAAGAAAGGGCATGTGAGGTCATAGCAAGAAGACGGCCATCTGCAAGCCAAGGAGAGAGGCCTCTGGAGAAACCAACCCTGCCAACACCCTGATCCCAGTCTTCTAGCCTCCAGACTATGAGAAAATACCCTTTAATTGTTTAAACCCATTGGTGGTATTTTGTTATTGCAGCCCTAGAAAGCTAACCCGGGCCTGTACATCCCACCCAGACCCAGGGCCTGCTCAGGATATGCTGTGGTCAGCCCGACATGGTACTAAGGGTTAGAGGAGCAATGTGGGTGGCCCAAATGCTGACCATCTACCCAAACTGCGAGCTTACAGAGAGCAGGTGAGCCCTACCAGGGATGGTGTTGTCCAGGAAAAAGCCCAGAAATCCACCAACAAACATGCCTGTGGTCAGCAGCACCTGGATGACCTGGTCCAGTTGGAGAATCCCTAGAAGGAAGACAAATGCAACAGGAAGTCCCAGGGACCAAGGCCCCCACTGGCTCTGCCCCTGGGGTGGTCACAGTTTAGAAGACAGAGAATCACCTGTCTGGAGCCTCTCAGGGTTCTTGTTCACCCAGTTGGGAATGGCAAGCCCACAGTAGATGGAGAAGCCAAAGATAAAGAGGTTCCTGGATGAGTTCATGTCCACGTACTGCAGGAGAGAGGCCCCCCAGGGCAGCCCAGAGACATCAGCATCTTTACCACATAGCAATCTAACTCCCCTCCAAATGCCTCCTCCCCTCCCACTGACACCAGAGATGGGGAGGGAGGCTGGCTTCAGAGCACCACACTCAGTGGGCATGCCAGGGCTGCATTCCCACTTGCCTCTGGGAGCTCAATGGTTTGGACAAGCCAACTCAAACGGATGCAGTTTCTGTTTTTCAGAAGTCAGGATGCTTGGAAGCCACTGTGGTTTCTGGGACCAAGGATTCCTTCTCCTCCTCCCCTCCTCCAGCCCTATTCCCTCCATCTCAATCCCTGGGGGCTCCTTTCAAGAGATGCACTGGCTCTGACTGTTCTCCTAAGGGTGCCTCGCCTCACCTGCAGGTTGGAAATCCCCACAGCAGTGATGACCCCAAACATCACCAGGAACATGCCTCCGATCACAGGCGTGGGGATGGTGGCAAAGGCAGCTCCAATCTTCCCAAATACGCCCATCAGGAGCAGCAAGCAGCCAGCAGCGACCATCACCATCCTGCTCCCCACCTGCAGTGCTCAGGGGGATGAGGGATGAGGAGCTTAGCACCAGCCAGGCCTCTGCCTTGTTCCACAAACAACACTCCAAGGGGGCTTGTAAGAGCAGTAAAAGTGACCCCAAAATGCACCCCCTCTGCTCCCACATGGGGCTTGGGAATGGATGAGGGTGTAACCTTGTGTCCTGGCCTCGGCCCCATCTCTTCACTCACAGCTCTATCCCTACCTTAGACTCCAGACTCAAATGTTCCTTCTCTAAGAAGCCTTTCCAGAGTGGCAAGAAGTGTCTCTTAGGAGGCAGTGGCCCAATGCTTAAGAATAGGCATTTGAGGGATCCCTGGGTGGCGCAGCGGTTTGGCGCCTGCCTTTGGCCCAGGGCGCGATCCTGGAGACCCGGGATCGAATCCCACGTCGGGCTCCCGGTGCATGGAGCCTGCTTCTCCCTCTGCCTGCGTCTCTGCCTCTCTCTCTCTCTCTCTCATAAATAAATAAAAATTAAAAAAAAAAAAAAAGAATAGGCATTTGAGGGCCGACCCCAGCTCTGCCTCTAACTAGCTGTGTGACTTTGGGCACGTTACTTAACCTCACCAAATATCAGCCTCCAAAGTTGCCAAATGGAAGTAACAATACTTCACAAACTCATTTTACAAGGCCAGCATTACCTTGATACCAAAGCCAGACAAGGACATTATAAGAAATGAAACTACAGACCAATGTCCCTGATGAATACAGAAGTTAAAAGTAAAATATTAGGAAACCAAATTCAACAGCACATCAGAAAGATCATACACCGTGAGCAGGTGGGATTTATCCCTGGGACAAGGAAGCTTCAACATATACAAATAAGTGTGGTATATCACATAGATAAAATGAAAGATTAAAAACCACACAATCGTCTCAATAGATGATGAAAAAGCATTAGACAAAAATACAACATCTTTTCATAATAAAAGCTCTCAACAAATCAGGCATAGAAGGAGCATACTTCAACACAGTGAAGGCCATATATGACAGCAGAGATGATATGATCTTATATAGAAAACCCTAAAGACTCACCCAAGAAGCTATTGGACTCAATCAGTGGACCAGTAAAGTCACAGAATAGAAAAATCAACACATTGAATTCAGTTGCATTTCTATAAACTAACAACAAAATATCTGAAAAATACAAAAAGAAAACAATCCATTCACAATATCATCAAAAACAATGAAAAATTTAAGAATGAATTTAAATTCATTCAGGGAAATTGAAGAGGACACAAACAAATGAAAAGATATCATGTGGGAAGCCCGGGTGGCTCAGGGGTTGAGCATCTGCCTTAGGTCCAGGGCGTGATCCTGGAGTCCCGGGATCGAGTCCCACATTGGGCTCCCTGCATGGAGCTTGTTTCTCCCTCTGCCTGTGTCTCTGCCTCTCTCTGTGTGTCTCTCATGAATAAATAAAAGTAAAAAGAGAAAGAAAAAGAAAATAAAAGATATCATGTGTTCATGGATAAGATTTAATGTTGTTGAAATGTCCATACTACCTAAAGCCATCCATAGATTCAATGCAATCCCTAACAAAATTCCAATGGCATTTTCCACAGAAATAGAAAAAAAAACCCCTAAAATTTGTGTGTAAATACAAAAGACCCCAAATAGCCAAAGCAATCTCGAGAAAGAAGAGTAAAACTGAAGCCATCACACTTCTTGATTTCAAATGATACTACAAAGTTCTGGTAATTAAAAAGGTATGGTTCTGTCATAAAAATAGGCACACAGACCAATAGAACAGAATTGAGAGCCCAAAAATGAACCCATGTCAGTTAACATTTGACAGGGAAGCCAAGCATATTCAACGGGGCAAAGAATAGTCTCCTCAGTAAATGGGGTTGGGAAGCCCAGAGAACCACATACAGAAGAGCGAAGTTGAACCTCTACCTTTCACCACTCAAAAATTTAACTCAATATGGATTAAAGACTTAATTGTAAGACCTGAAACCATGAAAGTCCTAGAAGAACACATGGTGGTTGAGGGGGAATGCTGGTGTGGCTCAGTGGCTGAGTGTCTGCCTTTGGCTCAGGGCATGACCCTGGGGTCCTGGGATCGAGTCCTGCATTGGGGTGATTTAAAAAAGATTTTAAAATTCTTTAAAAGAAAAGAAAGAAAGAAAACATAGGGGGAAAACCCTTGACATTGGTCTTCGCAGTTTTTTTGGATATGACACCAAAAGTATAAACAATAAAAGCCAAAGTAAACAAATGAGACTACATCAAACTAAAAAGCTTCTATGGAGTAAAGGGAGACAACTGACAAAATACAAAGGATACAAAGGATAAAATATTTGCAAACCATCTATCTGACAAGAGGTTGATATCCAAAATGTATAAAGAATTTATGCAACTCAGATAACAGCAACAACCACAGTAATGATCAAAAAAATGGGCAGAGGAACTGAATAGATATTTCTCCAAAGAAGACATCCAGATGTCCAACAGACACATGAAAAGATATTCAACATCATTCAGCAGCAGCAAAATGCAAATCAAAACTACAATGAGATATCACATCCTGTCAGATTCAGTCATCATAAAAAAAAAAAAAACAAGTGTTAGTAGAGATGTGCAGAAAAGAGAATCTTTGTGTGCTGGTGATAGGAACGTCAACTGGCACAGCCACCGTGGAAAACAGCATAGCTTTTTCTAAAAAAATTAAAAATAGAATTACCATATGATCCAGCAGTTGCTCTTGTATTTATGCAAAGAAACCAAAACACTAACTTGGAAAGGCATCTGTAACCCATGTTCATTGCAGCATTATTTACAATAGCCAAGACATGGAAACAACCTAAATGATGGATGAGTGGATAAAGAAATCTGAGATACACACACACACACACACACACAAACAATGGAATGTTACTCAGCCATAAAAAATGAAATCTTTCCATTTGCAACAACATGGATAGAACTTGAAGACATTATGCTAAGTGAAATGTGTCAGAGACAGACAAATATCATATGGTACCTTCATGTGTGGAGTCTAAAAAAGCTAAAATCAGGGCACCTGGGTGGCTCAGTTGGTTAAGTGTCCAACTCTTGATTTTGGCTCAGGTCATGATCTCAGGGTCCTGAAATCGAGTCCCACATCAGGCTCCACGCTGGGCATGGAGTCTGCTTAAGATTCTCTCACTCCTTCTGCCCTCCCCAGCCCTGCTCACGCATGTGTGCTCTCTCTTACAGAAATAAAATAAAATAGATTTTTTTAAAAAAGTTAAAAAGCTAAATTCACAGAATTAGAGTAGAGTGGTGGTTACCAGAGTCCTCAGGGTGAAAAAAATGGGGAGATGTTCCTCAAAGAGTACAAACTGCAGTTAGAAGATGAGTAAGTTCTGGGGATCTACTGTATGATATTGTGATTATAGTTAACAATGTCGAATTACACACTTGAAACCAGCAGAGTAAGATCTTAAATGTTCTCACTGCAAAAAAACAGAAATGGTAATTATGTGGCGTGATGGGAGTGTTAGCTCACGGTGATCATCACACTGCCAAATGGGAGTGAATCAAATAAACACACCGTACAGCTTAGGCCTACACAATGCTGCGTGTCAAGTATACCTTGGTAAAGCTGTGCGGGAGGAGATGGGAAGGAAAATCCGTGTGTCTGGAGTGTAGGCAGATGGAGAGACACATGGAAGGTAGATGAAGAGCAAGCCAAGGGCCCCATCATAAAGGGCTTCAGGGGCCACAGAGAGGAGCTGGGATAAAATCCAAAGACAAGGCATAAAAAAATGTGGTATTTTGTTTATAAACAACAAATATATGGAATGGAATATTATTGGACTGTCTGGGGATGGTCCTGGACATTGTGCTAAGTGGGATAAACCAGTTGCAAAAAGACAAATACTGTATGACTGCACTTGTGTGAAGTACCCAGTGTAGTCAAATGAGAGGGAACAGACACTAGGATGCTGACTGGCAAGTGCTGGGGAGGGAGGGGAGTAAGGAATTGCTTAATTGGTATTAGGTTTCAGTTTTTATGTTGTGTGTCTTTAACCACAATTAAAAGTATTTTTTAAGATTTTTAAAAGATTTTATTTATTTTTTTAAGATTTTATTTATTTATTAATGAGAGATACAGAGAGAGAGGCAGAGAGAGAAGCAGGCTCCACACAGGGAGCCCGACGTGGGACTCGATCCCAGGTCTCCAGGATCACACCCTGGGCTGAAGGTGGGCGTCAAACTGCTGAGCCACCCGGGTGTCCTAATTTATTTATTTATGGGGGGGGGAGGAGAGAGAGAGAGAGCACGAGCATGGGGAGAGGCAAAGGGAGAGGGAGAAGCAGACGCCCCGCTGGGCAGGGAACCCCATGCGGGGCTCAATCCCAGGACCCTGAGATCATGACCTGAGCCCAAGGCAGACGCTTCACCAACTAAGCCCCCCAAGCACCCAGAAGTACTTTTTAAGGTATTTTTAGGGGATCTCTGGGGGGCTCAGTGGTTTAACACCTGCCTTTGGCCCGGGGTGTGACCCTGGAGTCCCGGGATCGAGTCCCGTGTCAGGCTCCCTGCGTGGAGCCTGCTTCTCCTTCTGCCTGTGTCTTTGCCTCTCTCTATATATATATCTATCATGAATAAATAAATAAAATCTTTAAAAAAATAAAAAAATAAAGTATTTTTAAAAAGATACTCTAGGGGATCCCTGGGTGGTTCAGTGGTTTGGCACCTGTCTTTGGCCCAGGGCGCGATCCTGGAGACCCGGGATCGAATCCCACATCGGGCTCCCTGCATGGAGCCTGCTTCTCCCTCTGCCTGTGTCTCTGCCTCTCTCTCTCTCTCTCTCTCTCTCTCTCTCTCTCTCTGTCTCTGTCTCTCTCATAAATAAATAAATAAATCTTAAAAAAAATACTCTAGTGTCAACAACTGAAGTCCATTAATACCGCGGCAAAGTAGCAGAGTCCACCCTTGCTTATTTCCCTTTCCAGCCTAGGAGCTGATTTATTTAAACGTCTCCATGACAAGACACGTGGTAAGAACTTATCACATCAAAATAAGGTTTTGGGGTTTGTTTATAATCCTCATAAGGAACAAGAAACAAAGGCCCCAATCCGAGCTAAAGGGAAACACAGCCCAGGCAACATGTTTATTTTAGCTCCCGAGACCCGTGTCCAGATCAAGGGAACAACACATCTGAGCCGTGTGAGGCCAGAAGTGCGTGTTGGTCTGTTGCAGCAATAGTAAGGGGCTAAGGGCTTGGTGACAGATGCGGGTGCCCGGCCCGAGGTCGGCGTCCGTGGCCTTACCCTGGTGATGCCCAGCGCCCCGATGTTCTCGCTGTAGGAGGTGGTGCCATTCCCGGTACCCCAGGCCCCTGCCAGCAGACAGCCAAGGCCCTCGATGCCAATGCCACGGTTGACAGCATGCCTCGGAGGGGGGGGGGCCCCCACCAGCCGGGCACAGGCGTAGTAGTCGCCTACTGACTCCACCATGGAGGAGATCACCCCTGCGATGATCCCAAAGACCCCAGCCAGGCTGATGGTGGGGACGCCCCACTGTCCTGAAAGAGCAGTGCAGAGGGAATGTTCATCCAGAAGCCACTGGGTTGCTGAACCCCAAATAATTCCTTTGCCGGAGGGGTCCTGGGAAGGCTTTAAAGACCAGGCACTGTGTCTCCCAATCCCACAAGCGTGCAGGGTCTGTGGCTTGGGCTCCCGCGCTGCCGTTACCCCCTGAGGGCAAGTCAGGTCACACACCCGAGGTCACCGTTCGCAAGGACAGACGCCCCGTGGAAGCAGAGATTCTTACCCAGGGCGGCACGAGCTCCCGGGCTGGGGGCCGGGCCAGCCCTGCCTGGACCCTGGTTATTAATCCACCCGAGGTGAGAAGCACTGGGAAGGGCAAACAGCAGTGAGCCAAGAGCCAAGGAATGGCCTTGACCTCATCTGCCCAGAAGTGTTCTAATTCAGCCTGAAGCTCCCCTGGGTAGAATCGGCTAACCCAGGAAGGGTCCCCAGGAGACCCTTGGGTCTGGGGGTCTGGCTAGGAGGCTAAGACCTCTCTCATCTGCCCACTCTCGGGCCATTGGGGATGAGAGGGATGAGAGGAAGGTCCAGGACTGGGAGCCTGCGGGTCAACGCCCCCAGAGGATTCTTAGGACAACACAAGGGTCTCCTCCTTCTCCTGGGGTGAGGGGGGGGGGCGCATGTGGACCCCCTAGGGCCTGCTTCTCCTTGTCTGGTCTTTGGGAGGAGATCCATCCCCTGGCCCTGTTCATTCAGTGCCCTGGACCCCACAGACAGTCCTGGGGAATACATGTCCCAGGCCAAAAAGGGCCCTGTCTTCTCATTACCTGGGTAAGGGAAGCGAAACCAGGGAGCCTGGCTCAGGACATTGCCTTTGGTGTCGGTGCGGCTCAGATGCCCATAGGCCGTGGGGGCAGTGGGAAGGGCATTGGTGATTGTGAGCACAAAGCAGAGAAGCCACGAGAGGCAGAGCGCCAGCAGCACCTGCAGAGGGAACCCCTTCACTACCCGGCCTAGAGCCCCAGCTCCTGCCAACACCTCCCAGAGGTGCTGGGCCAGAGAAGGAGGTCAGGGAAGCTCCCAGAAATGAGGAAATGCTGGGCCACTGGCCCTTCCAAGGACAACAATTGGTGGCCCAATTAGCACATTGAAGAAATGCAGACAATAAACTATGGAAAAACCTTGTGTTAAACAGAGGCAGAAAGGTCTAGCACAATAGGCACAGCCTGGGTCAGAAGGACTACTGTCTGTCTCCCTTTCCACCGTGCTGGTCATGTGACTTTGGGTCAAACTCCCCCAGCCTCAGTTTCCTCGTCTGTACAGTGGAATCACAATCACTGCTCTGATATTTAACCTCTGGCAGCGGAGCCCCAGAAAGGTAGATTTCTCTCAATGTCCCCAAGTGATGCTTATACACCCAGAATGGTTGAGCCACCAGCCCGCAGCGCGGGGAGAGGTCAGTGAAATGTGGAAGTATCTTTTTACAACGTGAAATGTAGTCCACAGTTAAATCCCACCTGAAAACACATTGTGTGGCTGGTAGCCACACGGACTTAACACCGTGATGCAAATCCAGCAGAGGGGCGTCTGAAAGTGAAGTACCAGCCTCATCGTGAGGGATCTGGATTGCCCACGAGCCCCCCGAGATCCAGATCTGCGCAACTTGGTCCTTAGCTTTGTATAATTAGCCGTGAGCCTTGCTATGGGGACGGCCCCAGTTGTGTGACAAGGCTGTCCCACACTGGTGCCCAGAGCAGTGACCTAGAGCAGCGACCTGCTCCAGGGAGAGAAGATCTGTGGAATGATGGGGACGGCATGCCACCGGCAGCCAGGGAGCCTTCCCACGAGGCCTCCTCCCAGCCTCCTTCTACAGCGCAGAATGGAGGCCAGAGAGGAGAGGCCCCTGCCCACGGAAGCATTGGCTCTGGAGAACCTTCTGGGAGTGCCAGAGGCTGCCCCTCACTCTCCAGGCGAGTCCACTAAGAATGGAAGAGGGCAGGGAGTGCTTCTTACCGGGAAGACCTGAAACAGGTGGAATTTAGACGTATGACACTTCTTCCCTCCATAAACGGGCACAGGTATGCCGACGTTTTTTAGGTACTGAGAAAACAGCACGATGAGGAAGATGGTCCTGAAACAGAAACAAGCCACACCCAGCCCGGCAAGCTGGCGCTTGTCCTGAGCAAGTGTCCAGGAAGCCGAGCCCCCACACATCTCAGGGGACAGGCTGCAGGGGCCACACCAGCAGAGTTCCCATGAGGCAGGCCCCATCCCTGAAAAGGTGGGCTGTTCCCTTTCAGAGCTGCTGGGGGCTGGAGAGAAATACGGGGAAGGGGACCCTCATTCCCTGGGGTGGGGTTGGGGGATGATTTTTTTATTTCTTAATTTTCAAAATGCATTGTTTATTGGTAAGAAATAGACTTCTAAATAGATGCGAAAGCACACAGGTGTTTTGCTCAACTATGTGATTTTTGTCTCCGTTTAAAGAACTTTTCTCCATATATGTTTCAAGATGACTTAAACATCTTAAGGAAACTTAAATGCTCTGCGCTCGGCTGTTGTGGTCAGGACATCTCCCACCACTGAAATTAAAACGCTTGATTTCATTAAAAACAAACAAACAAGCAAACAATATATTAGACCCATACTCATCAAAAATGCTCTGAGGCCAAAACAAAAACCTTTCTAGAATGAAGGTAACTCTTACTAAAGTAATTCTCTTAGATTTTAAATGCAGTATTACTAGTTCCATAAATATTTAATGTTCTTAATCCAATAACAGTTTTTAGGGAAAAAACTATCCAATATACAAAAACTGAATACGTTCATTTTTTAAAAGGTAAGAGGAAGGTACCCTGAAAAGAGATGCCATCTCAATGGTGGAGATGCAATCAGAGCTGACTAGATTTGTAAGCGTAAATTTTTTTCCAGGGAAGAGAACCTGCACGGGCATCAGGGTCGGCCAAGGGGCAGGTCTCCCGTCTAACGGCCGCCTCAGACAGTCCCTTTTGGGAGGGACCACCATCCAAGAGGTTGGCCAGGATGGAAGAGAAGCTGCCCCATGGCACAGCGCTTTAGCACTGCCTGCAGCCCAGGGTGTGATCCTGAAGACCCAGGATCGAGTCCCACATCAGGCTCCTTGTGTGGAGCCTGCTTCTCCCTCTGCCTGTGTCTCTGCCTCTGTGTGTGTGTGTGTGTGTGTCTCATGAATAAATAAAATCTTTAAAAATAAAATAAAATAAAAGTGGGCAACATGGCAATGGTCCTGCAGGTGGAGTCGGTGAGGCCAGAGTCGGAGACTGTCTTCCGTCCCAGGTCATTCTGCAGGTCCCTGTGGTCAGCCCCTCACAGCGGCACAGATGAGCGTGCCCAGGGCCATCCCCAAGTCCCTTCAAAGCTCTGTGGAAATGCCCAAGGCCTCTTTTTCCCATAAAGAATTCCAGAGCCTCCCAGTTGGCTGTAATCAGCCCCCTGCCCCAAACATACACTTGAGCATCCTCTGATTCTCGTCACCGTCTCCTGGTGTCATAGCTCCTGGGACCAAGGCTCAGCCCCCTCCTACACTGTGAGATCACTGAGAGCTGGGGCCATGGCTTTGCATCCCTTCCCGGGTGCCGGAGGTTGACAACCATTAGCTCCGCGGAAACCCAGCAGGCGGACGACCACCAGCAGCAATACTCGGTGAGCTCTGCGCTAAGTTTTCTCACGCTCTGCCTGTGGTTAACTCCTGGGCTTTGAGGACTCACAATGTACTCAGTAGTGGTGATAATGAATGGCAGCCCTTCCATTGCTTGTCAAGGCATCATAATGTTCATGAAAGTATCTGTAAACCACACGAGTTAGCTAGAACCCTGAGCACGTTATTCTTGCTGAATTATCTCCCTCCAGAAGGAACCGAGATGCTACTCCGTCCTCAGAGAGTACTTACGTGGCAGCGACCCCCCAGTGGACCCCAGCACTGTCGCCCGCGGAATCAAAGAGAGGCAGGGCCACCAAGGTGATGGTCGGAGTGATGGTCAGGGGGCCGATGAAGCGCATGAGAAACCCAATGAGGCCAGAGAATCCCACCAGCATCTGGACACAGGAAGCGACCATGATGGCGCCCTGCAGCTGGGGAGGGAAGGAACAGCTCAGGCGCCTTGGGGCCGGCAGAGACCGTGGGCCTCAGCCCAGCCAGCCAGCACCGCAGACCTAGCTGAGGCAGCCCGCCTCTCTGCCTGCCCCGACCCACAATTCCACAGTGCAGAGTCAAAGCTAAACTCCAGGGGAACCGAGGCAAGGAGAGGCCTGCTCTGGGTCCTCTCTCCAGCTCTGGATTTCCAATTCCCTGGTGGACATTTGCACTTCATTTGAAGGTTTTCAGGAAATTGCCTTCAGAAGTGTGTATTGGTCATGGAGAGGAGGAGGACGACTACCATCACTCCGTAGCGGGTTAAATCTCTTGCTACTTCATATTGGCGTGCTCCCACTTTCTCTTGCAAGGGTTGGCATTTTTTTTTCTGTAAAGGACCAGATAGTGACTATTTCAGGCTTGATGGGCCATATGGCCTCTGTCAAAACTTTTCCAGACGAGATGTGAACAAATGAGCCTAGCTGTGCTCCTCCGAAATTTCACGAGTAGATACTGAAATTAGCATTTCACATAATTCTGACACATCGTGAGTAGTACTCTTCTTTTTCAACCATTTAAAATGGAAAATCATTCTTACCTTGTGAGCTATATCAAAACGAGCAGCAGGCCAGATCTGGTCCATGGACTATATAGTTTGCCAACCCCTGATCCACTGGACCCATGCAATTTGCTTAACGTCTAACTTTTCCTCTTTTGGTTTGGATGTTATACATTCTGCTTTATCCTTCGTAACTTTCCTTGTTTTAAAGTCTGCTCTTGGGATGCCTGGGTGGCGTGATCCTGGAGTCCCAGGATCGAGTCCCCCATCGGGCTTCCTGCAGGGAGCCTGCTTCCCCCTCTGCCTGTGTCTCTGCCTCTCTCTGTGTCTCTCATGAAAAAATAAATAAAATCTTAAAAATAAATAAATAAGATATGCTCTTTCTGAAAGTAGTAGGGCAACTTCTACTTTGTTTTGATTAGTGTTAGCATGATATATTTTTTTGCCATCCATTTACTTTCGATCTCTACATGTCTATATATTTAAGGTAGGTTTCTTATAGATGACATAGTTAGATTGCATTCTCTGTCATTTAATTGGTACATTTAATCCACTGACATTCAAAGTGATTATTTTTTTAAGGATTTTATTTATTTATTCATAGAGACACACACACACGGGGGTGGGGGGGCAGAACACAGGCAGAGGGAGAAGCAGGCTCCATGCACGGAGACTGACGTGGGACTCGATCCTGGGTCTCCAGGATCACACCTCAGGCTGTAGGCGGCGCCAAACCGCTGCGCCACTGGGGCTGCCCTCAAAGTGATTACTGATACCACTTAGTGATAATTGGGTTGATACCAACTATGCCTATTACTGTTTTCTATTTGTTGACCTTGTTCTTTGTCCCTATTTTTGTCTTCCACTCTCGTTGTGGTTTTATTTTATTTATTCATGAGAGACAGAGAGAGAGAGGCAGAGACACAGGCAGAGGGAGAAGCAGGCTCCCTGCAGGGAGTCCGACGTGGGACTCAATCCCAGGACCCCGGGATCATGTCCTGAGCCACCCAGGTGTCTCTCTTTTTGTGGTTTTAATTGACCGTTTCATATGGTTCCATTGTTTTCCATTCTTGACATGTTTTTCTTTCTTTCTTTCTTCTTTCTTTCTTTCTTTCTTTCTTTCTTTCTTTCTTTTTCTTTCTTTCTTCTTTCTTTTACTTTCTTTTCTTTCACTTTTTTGAATTACCCTAGAGTTTACAACATACCAAGTCCACTTTCAAAGAACACTGCCAGTTCATGAATAGGGTGAGTACCTTGTAGTAATAAAATAATCTTAATCCCTCCTTCTCATCCTTTATATCATTGCTTTATATGATCCTTTATATCATTTCACTTATATCTAAGGACATAATTGGTCCAAGGTGTTGAAAACTGAACTTGCCTTCCCTTCCTGGTTTTTTATTTTTTCTGCTACCACCATGTCCTTAAAATAGAACCACCATTCACTTTCACTTCTCCATTACTTATAGCCTAGCAAGTAAAAACCTTCCTATTGGTCCTATATTTGTGTCACTTTCACTGGTGGCTAGTATAGTGACATACAGTTGGTGTGCTGGCCACCAGTGATTTCAATCCCTGACATGTATGTGGACAAATATAACTCAGATAAACACGGGGTATCTACCTTAAATTCCCATAGGCTGGCTTGGAGAAATCAACCAATCAATCTAATTAATGATGGCTTGGAGAAATCAACCAATCAATATAATTAATGAAATGAAGTTGTAATTTGAAAGAACTTTCTCTTGCTTACAGCACTGGTGAAGAACTTTGGTCCAGCAGGTGGAGCTCAACTATCATAGATAAGGTTCTGGGTTTGGCTCACTGTGTTAGACTCTTGGAGGCTATGTGGGGAAAAATAGTGGAGACTATTGTCTTAGGGACAAAGGAATCCCTACCCTGGGCCCTGGGTCTCAAAGCAGGAGTTGGTAAACTTTTCCTGTAAAAAGCCAGATGGTAACTACTTTAGGTTTTGTGAGCTATGTGTGGTTTCTATCGCATATTCTTTTTAAGAACAGCCTTTGAAACTTAAAAACCATTCTTAGTTTGTGAGCAGTTAAAAAAAAAAAAAAAAAAAAAAAACAGACCCCAGGCTGGATTTGATCCGTAGTTTTCATACTCCTGCTTTGAAAGGACTCCATATATCATAAACACAAAAATAAACAATAAAGGTATCAAAGAAAATACGGTGTCTCTGACATTTGGGATCCCATGTTTAATGCAGGTACAGCATGACCCATATCCCTAAACACCTCCCTCACTATTAATACTTGTTCGAGCCCTAGGGAAATTATTTTCCGTAACTCTTGCCCAGTGTCCTCAAAACACAAGGTAACTGGTTCTGAACACGGTGAAGGTTGGTGAGTTGTGCCATGGTATTGCTGGAGGCAGGTGCTTCATTAGGACACAGGAAAGATTTGAGCCAAAATGCTTCGGTAGGAGAAGAGACAAACTAACTTATCAGATCTTTCTTCTTGGATAGTAGGAAAGCAAGAGATTCTTGCAGAAGAAATTCCAGTGCTCAGCAGGTCTGCGTGGAAGGGAAATCCTGCCCTGGCATCTAGCAGAGCCAGGTAAAGAAACCCTACTTCTTGTGTTTTGCTTGATTTTAATTTGGATTTATTTTTTTTATTTTTACATTTTTAATTTAAATTCAATTTGCCAACATATAATATATGTTGAGTACCCAGTGCTCATCCCATCAAGTGCCCTCCTTAGTGCCTGTCACCCAGTTATGCCATCCCAACCACCTCCCCTTCTGCAACCCTTTGTATGTTTCCCAGAGTTACAAGTCTCTCATGGTTGGTCTCCCTCTCTAATTTTTCCCCACCCAGTTCCCCTCCTTTCCCTTATAATCCTGTTCACTATTTCTTATATTACACATGAGTGAAACCATATGATGATTGCCCTTCTCCGATTGACTTATTTCACTCAGCATAATACCCTCCAGTTCCATCCACGTTGAAGCAAATGGTGGGTATTTGTCTTTTCTGATGTCTGAGAAAATTTGGATTTAATGAAGCCAAATATAGGCTCCCTGGGGGACAGCAGAAACAAACAAATAAACAAACACCCACAAGCCACATGTGTTCTGTGATTCATTCTGTTGATGGTATAGTGAAACTAGGCTTCCCTGAAGTACAGCTTCATTTGGAGAAGGTGGTACAACACACAGCATCCCGAGATCGGCCACTCTACCTGGCAAAAATCCAGGGCCCGCCAGCTTGACAAGTGACATTCTTAGGAATGTCTTAGTTTAGAGCTATATGGTATTGTTCTTTAATGATTAAAGAGCCTGGTTAACATGGGGTCCACTCTGAGACAAAAAGGAAGCAGATGGATCAGATTTCAGAAGTATACGCACTTTTGGCCTGTCCCAGCATAGGTATGTGTAAAAAGGCTGCTTTAGAAAAGGAAGAAGAACAGCAGAGGGTTGGGCTGAAACTCACAGGTCATGGCCTTCGCAGCCCCGCTCCCTGATTTATAGGAAGCGAAGGTGGTAGAGTCTGTGCCGAATGAGGACCCACCCTGGTGGAAGCCAGTGCTCCGGCTCTGCTGAGGCTGTGCTCCGGAGCAGCTACTCCACCCCTTTCCCTTTGACAGACCATCACTAACTAGTCTGCACTGAATTAGACCACTAGTGAGTAGCTCCGGAGCAGCTACTCCACCCCTTTCCCTTTGACAGACCATCACTAACTAGTCTGCACTGAATTAGACCACTAGTGAGTAGCACCCAGTAACTCCAGGATCAGAGACCCCAATCATGTTCTTGCGTGAGACCAGAAAGACATTCAAGTAAAGAAGGACAGATCAACAAAATCTGCTGATTAAGGGAAAGAATTGTAGTCAGGCAGAGAAAAGGCAGGGACACAGGAGGAGTTCATAGGATTCATAGGCAAGTGACAGTCCCCACCTCCCCTGGGCCAGACACTACCTCACAAGATGACCTAACGCTGGCAACAAAGATTTGAGTTTCACCATGTGAGTCCCTGGATTCAGAAAGCAGTGGTTGGAGCTTGGCTAAAGGTGCTGCTTGCCCAACTGAGGGAGGTTGATGCTGGAAGAGCATATGATGCTTCCCCAGAGAAACCTTGATGGAAGAAGTAAAGCAGATCTAAATCCAGCCAATGCGCCGAGTCATGCATGAGATGGCTGACTATGCACACATAAATGCCCGGGGTTACCCCCGTATAATTCCACGGGTCCTTGGGCGGTGGCCAATGATCAGCAGTTTGGTCTAGGAAGAGGACAATAGGGCTCTAATGAAATTTTGCCTTCTGTGGGACAGGAGTTTTTAGTTAAATCTCAAATAGTTGTGATTTGTGGCGATGCCCCTAAGTCTTAAAGAGAGGGAGGAAGTATGACCTGAATGTAGTCACTAGGGTCCATGAGTTGATACCAGGCGCATGCGAGCTCACAGACAACATAATCCCCATCCTCATCTGGTCACTTATTTTGCCCTGGACAGTCCAGATTGCACGATGCGCACATGTGCTTTTGGTGGGAGATACAAGGGTATACGGCCCATCACAGGGGTGGCAGGCTGCCTATGCTGGACATTTCCCAGAGTCTGCAAGGATTTAATATTTTTAAAAACTAGAATGGACAGTGTTTCTGGTTTGAGCTTTGCCTAATCTGAAGTCTGGGCCCAGACTACTATAAAAAAGACTGGCAACCCAGACTGCCCACCAGCATTTAGCAAACAGCTCAAGAACTTCTTGGTTTCCAATGCCACATGAGCCAATTCCTACAATACACCCCCTCTTGTCTGTGTCTCTATATATCCCATTGCTGCTATTTCTTTGGAGATCCCTGACTGGTACACATGCCCTGTGACTCAGTAGTCCCACTCCTACATGTATTTTCAATGAAAAAATAATATATATATATATATATGTATATATATATATATATATATATATATATATATATATATGTTTGCTTAAAACCAAGTACACAAACATCCCTAGCAACACTATCTATAACAGCCCATAACTGAAGCTACCCTTAAACAGAGTTTAGGCAACAGCAGAATAAGTAAGCAGAGAAGTAAATTACTGTGTAATTATATAATGGAACACTACGCAGTGAAAAGAGAATGAAGAATCTACCCCTACATATGACAATGTGGAAGACTTAGAAAACTCATGTTGAATGAAGAAGGCAGATACAAACTAGTACGTGCTGTGTGGTTCTCTATATAAAGTTCAAAACCAGGCGAAGCGCATCTATGGTGTTAGGAATCAGGTCAGCGGTTATCCCCAGAGGAGAGGGGACTGGGAGGAGACACGACGAGGCTTCTGGGGTGTTGCTAATGTTCTGTTTCTTGATCCAGGTGCTGGTAACATGAGCAAGTTCAGCTTTGAGAGTTATTTTCTATATGTGTTGAATTTAAGTGAAAAAATTCATTTACAAAGCTACAAGTGCAGACTTTGGAAGGAGGGGAGAAAAAAATAGAGTAGGGACAGGATTATCAAACATATGTAAAGTAGTAGTGGTAGTAGTAGTAGTTGTAGTAGTAGTAGTCATAGTAGTAGTAGTGTACACTACCCCCTCCACCCCTTGGGCCCTCTCACCTCTCGGATCCTCTTCTGCCATTCTTCAGTGAACTCGGGAGAGCTGGTGTTCACCAGACTGGCATTGAATGTCCATTCAGGGCACTTCCAAGCAGGAAGGGACAGCATGGACAGGGAGGGTGCCACAAAAGCAAATGTCCCTCCCTGGAGAATGGGCAGCCTGGAGGAGGGAGAAGAGGATGCAGTTACCTGGGAGATTCATTAGCAGGGGTCTGAAACCGGGCTCAGGGGAGGTTCTTTCATTCCAAGCCCTAGCTTGATTTAGAGGCAATACATGACCCAGCTGGTCTCACCCTACAGGGAGTTCCTGCCATGCTCCCATCAGACGCAGGAGCCCTGCCAGACTTTGGACAGGTACGAGGGGTGTTTGGGGGGAGACAAGCAGGCCTAACGCCAGTCTAGGATATGTAAACCTGGGAAGCCCTGAGAAATGACTTGGAGACAGCACAGAGCTCAGCAAGCATATAGAGTGTGTGCCATCATCTACTCTGGTCCCAGAGAATCTTCCCCAGAGCCCAGGATAAAAGGACAGTTCCTGTGTGGAGGTCTCCCCCCCGCCCCAAGAGATGCACAGCCTAAAATCTGGGCTGCCAGATTCCTTTGGGTCTTCAAAAATGATCAGCACCCCCAGACCTGTACCTTCAAGCCTCCTTTTTATCACAAGGAGAGAACAGTTTTTAGGTCAATTATCAGGCCAAGTGCCTTCCATCCAGATCCTTCTTACTCCTGCCTGGCTTCTCACTCTGGCATCTGTGAGAACTTTGAGAACTTTCTTCCCTTTGAGGTAAATGCAGCCTGATAAGTCAACCTCCAATGACCCTCTCTTATCAGATCACAGACTATCAAGGCTTGGCCTTGTCTGCCCACCTATGACACTAACATTTGGGGAAGGGTGGCCCAGAGGCACCTCAGCATCCTGATTACACTTGCCACTGTGATCCACCTAGTTCCAATACATTTTCTTAACAATTCTAGAAGGGTATTTTTGTACTCAGAATTTCATAAAAATTGCTCAAAGGATTATTCTCGGGAGACTGAGTACATTCCATATAATGAAAATATGAAGTTGATGCAAGAGTTTGCTGCCTAATTGGCCTTTGCACCCTGGCTGGACATGAGAATGGATGATGCCTGGGCATCACCTTCAGACAAATCAGTGGGCTTCTCTAGGAGTGCGCCCAGGTATGGGGTGCACTTAGAGCTCCAGGTGATTCTACTGTGCAGCCACGGTTGAGAACAACTGATCTAGACCATAAATCTAGACCCATAAGGCTTCAAAGTAGAACAGAATCCATTGCCCACACAAGGCGGGAATACACAGGTGGTGGTAGGGGTATGCGTGAATACTTTTTTTAATTTAAAAACTATGAAATCTAAATATCTTGAAACAGAGAAGGGAGACATGCTCTACTTATATCTTTACAAAACCCCCTTGAGTTTTAAAAAGTAACATATAAACCTTTGTGTATGGATACAACCAGAGTTACCTAATACAGAACTTGTGTCTTAATTTTTTGCTATAATTCCATATGTACATTTCACTCATTCACCAAATATTTATTAAGGATCTGCCATGTGGTAGGCACTGGCTGCCATGGTATTGAGGACACCATGATGAGTGAGACAAAACTCCCACTTATCTTCTAGCGACATATGTCTCAGCCCTCGTACTAACAAACTAACCGCTGCCAGTAACTTACTCTCAAGGATCACTTTAAACACCTTCTGGTGGTGCCTACAAAGTCCACCATGTCAGCCATGTCCATTTTACTGGGTTCCAGAAGGGCAGGGCTGGCATTCATTATTTTTCATTCTCATCCCTCCAGTGCTGAGCCGGGAACCACACAAAAACCTGCCAACATTGGGTTTATCATTTGGTTTTCTTAAGTTTAATAGGCATGTAATGAAGTCCTAACAAATGTTAATTTGCATTTCATTAAGCTATGAGAGATGTGCACTCATTCGTGTGATTTAATGTCTGTTTTCTCCTTTTCTACAAACCATCTACTCATTACATGGAATTTGGATACTGTCAAAATATATTTGTAACAATTCTTACGGTAGCGAGCTTCCTTTTTATTAAAAAAAATGCCTTCTGCTGCTGCATGCAGGAATTCATCCCTTAAGTGAGAAATTATTTAAGAGAATATTTCAAAATTTTAAATAGCTGCGTTCCTTTCTAATTCTGCTCGTGTTATTGTCTTTCGAGATGATGACATGTCATTGGGATAATATGATACATGGAATTTCTGCCTTTGTTTGTAATTGCAACATATCTTTTATGTTCAAGAGCAAGATGAATTTTCTTTTGCATTTATTTGCTTCAGGGTATGATCATGCTCTACCTTCAGGTTCACACAACGTATCTATAAATTATTCCCTTATTATTTTATACTTATACCTTCAAATCCCATTTTCTATTCCTTCCTGTCCCACTCCACCCCCATTTTGTTAGGTATAGCTTCTTTTTTTTTTTCTTCGAGATTTTATTATTTTAAAGAAAGAGTGTATGAGCATGAGCAGGACGAGGAACAGAAGGGGAGGGGGTGGGAGAGATCTCCAGCAGACTCCAAGCTGAACGCAGAGTGTTGCAGGCCTGGATCCCACTACCCTGAGACCACGACCCAAGCCAAAACGGAGAGTCCCACGCTTCATCAACCAAGCCACCCAAAGGCCCCAGGTATAACTACTTATTAGTATCCTTTTGGTAGACAGATGAGAAAGAGAGAGAGAGAGAGAGATTGAGACTGATCTACATATACTCCTTCCATTTCTACTAATTCTTCCTTTATGAACATCTGCAGTATGTGTATAGGGTATGTGCACTCAGTACTATTCTAGGCTTTCATTGTTCTATGTATGTCTTACTTTCTATGGTGACCTTGATGTATATTTCAGCGTTCTTTTAAATTTCATGATTAATTTATCTGCTACAATGATGGCAAGCCTGGATTTTTTAAATCTGCACATGAGTATGATTCACTACTGTTCTACATGTGCCTTCTGACTTAAATGTCTCTCTTATAACTTATGGACTGTTGATTTGAAACCAACTCAACATTTTAGAGTGAGAAGAGCTTCTTGAAACATATCCAGCTTGCCCTGTTATTTTTATAGATGGGGGATCTGGGCCCAAGGTCATAGAGTTAACCAGGAGGAGGGCTAGGGTCTCCTCCCTCATCATCCAGGTTCCTCACTGCCCTATGACACTGATTAAGAGCATGGCAAATTTAAATCTGGCTCTACCTCCTATCAGTTGTGTGACCTAAGCACGTCACCCAACTTTTGCAAGCCTCAGTGTCCTCTTTGATATAACAAAATAATAGCACTTTCCCCAGAGAGTAGCCATGAAGATTAAATATGTATAAATGTGTAGCCCAATGCCTGGGGCATATTTGGCACTCACCAAATAGCAGTAATGATCGTTACTTTATTATTCCCTCTGAAAAGTGTGGGTACTTCCTGAGCAGGTGGTGTACATTATAACATTTTCTTTTGTGTTTTCTCTTACAGCTGTTATATTGGGCTTTAAAAAAAAAAAAAAACTGTTGTCTGGCATTCCCATCTCTTGCAGGTGGGTTCTCTAAGATTTGTTTTCTACATCCCTTGTTTTCTTTTGTGTTGTTGGAATCCATGTGCTTGGGCTGGTCCAAGGCTGCATCTTTGCCTTAGTTACCCCTTGCCCCATGGCACGTAATCAGCCCTGCAGGTAGTACACAGCCACCTGCACAGAGCTCCAAAGTTTTCACTCCATTCCTCTTCATTATTTCTTCTATTCCAATTCTTAAGGTAGACACTATCTCTCAACGCAAAATGTTGCTTGCGTTAACATTTAAAGGTTAATGTCTAAGGCATAGCACTCTTCATGTGATGTCACAACACGTGTCCGCTGGGATGGATTTGCTTCTATTGGATCTACTGATCACTGTGAAGCTTACTGCTCTTGTATTGCTGTTCAATCTATTTCAGATGTCTCCTCCCTGGTAATTTTTGTTTTTGTTACATTTGATTTGAAAGAGTTTCTCTGACAATGTCCCACATGTTCCAACACACTATGTATTAACTTTAGCATTTACAGGGGCACCTGGGTTGTTCAGTGGTTGAGCATCTGCCTTTGGCACAGGTTGTGATCCTGGGGTCCTAGGATCAAGTCCCAAATCAGGATCCCTGCAGGGAGCCTGCTTCTCCCTCTGCCTATGTCTCTGCCTCTCTCTCTGTCTCCCATGAGTAAATAATATATATGAACTTAATATGTGATGAATACAGTCTTGATTCCTATTTATTCAATAAATGATACTGAGATAATTGGCTTTCAGGGAGAAAAAAATATATTTGAGGCCTCACTTCATACAATACACCTAAATAAATCCCAAAATTAATTCAAGAGTTAAATTTAAAAATCTAAACAACACCATACAAGTATTTTTTAAAAAAGATGATCATTTATCTTATCTATTGGATATAGAAAGGATTTCTATAAGTCTAAAAGTAGATCAAGAAATAGCAAGGGAAAAAAAAGAAATAGCAAGGGAAAAAAATTAACAAATTTTACCATAGAAATATAAAAACTTTGATACTGCAAAAATGCTCAAAACTAAAAACACACTAAAAATGTTTATGGCAATTAATAAATACAAAGATTTGATATTTTTAATATGTATTGAGTTTTGTGCAAAGGAAAAAAATTGACTTCTGGTTAAAAATGCCAAATTATACACTTGCTCCCTCTTGAAACTCCACTAAAATGACACTAAAATATATTTTAGAAGAATAAATCACAAGATAAAAAGATCTTAGCAAGAGACAATTGCAACAAAACTTTGAAAGCTAAAGAGCAGAGATGGACAGTGGTAACTGATCTGACCAGCCTGGGGAATCAGTATTCTATGCTAGCAATAGGTAAATGGCATTACACTGAAAAACTCACAACATATCAGGAATTGGTTCTTGAAGCAGGACTAAATGTGGAGCTGAAACAGGCTTAATGTCTTTTTTAGAAACAGTCAAGGGACTGTCCTTCCCTCACCTTGGCCAAAGACAGAGTTTATCCTGTAGAAAAGACAAAACACGGGGTCTGCATACTGCAGGGAAATTGGCACAGTTGACGTGCAGATATCATACTGAACACTGGGGTGAGTCATTTAATATATGCACACTGAA